TAAAAAAAAAATTAGGTATTGAAATAAAATCAAATTATTTATTGCAAATTTACTAATAGGTGATAGTGGCGTTAATTTTGGCGTACAAAATTTTATCTTACTATGCTTTTCTGCCTTGAGAAAGTTATATTGTTATTAAATTAGAATATATTAATGGCGCAAGCAAAAATGATCAACCTAATGTATTTACTATGTATTACTGTGATACAAAATTAACATTCTAATTATTCCTTTTTTATCCTCATTAACAATATAACATAAAGTAACACCAATAACGCCAACTTTTTTTTTTTATTTTTTCTACCAAATTATTTAAAAATTAAAAAATGGCTAAAGCAAATGAAACTCAAGTTCCTACTGAAACTGAACAGAATAATTTAAAAATCTTTGATAAAGTTTCTAATTCAGTAAATATTAACCATAAAAATTGTTCTTATTGCAATAAACCATTTACTGAAGAATTATGGTGTAAAGAATGTGATCCTCGTCGTATGATTGAAGGTTGGACCAGCGGAAATAATGACGTTGATAAATTTATCAAAGATACCATCTATGATGTAAATAAAAAGACAGATTATAAAGTTAAATTTCTTGAATGGGCGCCATTTGATAGGTTTGAAGATGTAAAGGAAATTGGTGTAGGAGGATTCGCAAAAGTGTATTCCGCAACATGGATTGATGGTAAAGCAGTACACTATAATATACAAGATTTAAGTTGGAAAAAAACAAAACCTAAACCTATCAAAGTTGCTTTGAAAAGATTAAATGGATCAGAGAATATGTCGGCTGAATATTTAAATGAGGTATGATTTGTATTAACTTTACATAGTATTTTACTTAATTTTTAATTAATCAAAAATTTTAATATTAATTTTAATGTAAATAATAGCTTAAAATACATTGGAATCTTTATAAAGAAGGTGGTAATACTTCAATAGCATTCTATGGAATGACCAAAGATCCTGAAACTGAAGAATTTATGATGATTTTACAATTTGCAGATGAAGGAAATTTGAGAAGTGTTCTTTCACATAATTTCAAAAACATTTTATGGACAGATAAGATAAAATATTTATATTGGTTAATATATGGTCTTAAAGATTTACATGATTTAGGATATTTTCACAAAGATTTTCATAGTGGAAATATATTACGAGTAGATGAACGTCAAACTTCTATTTCAGACTTTGGATTATCTGGACCATCAAATAAACAAAAATCAGATGATAAAATATGTGGGGTGTTACCATATATTGCCCCAGAAGTTTTAAATGGAGAACCATATACATATCTTCAGATATTTATAGTTTTGGTATAATTATGACAGAATTATCATCTGGAAAGCCACCATTTTATGACAAAAAGCATGATTTAAGTCTAGCATTGGCCATATGTAATGGGCTCAGACCAGAATTTGGAAAAGGAACTCCTGAAATTTATAAGAAACTAGCTTATAAATGTATGAATGCTAATTCAAATCAAAGACCAACAGCCAGTGAATTAAGAGACATATTTGAATTTTGGTTTTTATCTCTTTACGGAGATAATAAAGAAAAATTTGGATATGAAGGAAAAGAAATTAAAGCTATGTTTGAAGAAGCTGATAAAGAAATACCGAATATTTCAACTTCATATAAGGAAAACCCTGATGCTATATATACTAGTAGGTTACTTACATTTAATAATTTAACAAAACCTGTTAATTCATCTATTATGACATCATACCTTAATGATGAAGAAAATAGTAAAGGTATTGTATTATTTTTGAAATTTTAATTAAATCTTTTATTTTATAATTGCTAATTATTTCTTCTATAGATTGTCAAGATTCTAAATCATTTGACTTGGAGGTATCTAGCTCATTACAATTAAAAGGTAGGTAACAGTGGTAATAATATAATTATATAGTTAGTACAATAGGACCCCGAAATATATATGTAGAGGTCAGGTCCAGAAGTGGTCCAAAATACGCATTCTTTCAGGGCCGGAATTACGATAATTTCAGCCATTATCTAAATTAGGAAATATTATTTTGGCTGGGATTATCCATAAAAGGAATGATCTACATGATTTTTTTGACTCATTATACGCAAACTCTGACCTGACCCTTTTATGTATATTTCGGGGTCCTAGTACAATATTATATAGATTAATTAATTTTATATTAATTTCATTAATTTATACAGATGACGTTAGTAATGAATATGTTGAGTGATCATATACTTATTTTTGATAAACTTAGTATCTTTATAACTTTTTTTTTTTTATAGAATTATTTGTTTTAGTTTAAAATCAAATATTTAGCGGAGGATGAGTGATAAAATTTATTTATTAAATTTATTTTAATAAAAAAAATATAATAATAATAATTTTCTAGACTTCTAGTAATATAGATAAGAGATATTTAAATTCTGATTTACTGTATAAATAAATATATATATTTATTCATTTATTTATTGATTAATCATAGTCAATGAACTTATATTAAATAAAATCTTATAATAATCTATTGTGAATCAACTGAATTAACATGATTATTAAGATTATCAAGTAGCTAGAAATAAGATGGTGAATTAGTAATTACACAATACTATACAGTTCGATAGATATACACATTTATATAAACATGTTCAAAAATAATTTTCCACCTTAACAAGATTTTGTGGACCGTAGATAATTGGTGGACTTACTGTATTTGTTAATCAACTTTTTTCTTTCATATCAATAAAATTTATAAAAACAATTGTAGCTTCATAACTTATAAAATACAAGAAGATTTATATTGATAAATTTAAAGATAAGAGATAAAACATGCAAATAAAATAAAAATAATGTATATCGTTAATTTCAATCAAAATTCGTGAATAGATAATGATACTATATAATATGGCAAGTAATTAACTTTCATTAGTTAATACTATATATAAATGTTTGACAAACAATTCATTTAGTTTTTTTTGCTAAATGCTACTATTAACTAGATACCTTTATTGATATGATGCTATCACGTCAAAATTGTAATTGATTACGTTGTAATTTTTACAATACCAATAAAGGAATAAAAACATTGTCTTAACTATATACTGTACCCCTTAATCCATAAATTATACATTGTAAAAATCTTACAACAGAATTCTAAATTTACTCAGTTAACTGATGACTTTCTCCATCAAATTTGCTCATTACAATCAGGACATTTATTCATTTGCATAGCTCCGTCATAATCTTCAATCATACACTAAAAAAATTAAATATATAAATAAACCATACGTCCATACATGTTAAAAATATGTAATCATGTATTATTAAAATTTCTTACCGGATGACCATTTGGGCACTCATACCAATATCCTAATAACAATGATGACGATGTTAAAAAATAATTTATTATTGATATTATTAACTTTTTATAATAAAGTAATAAAGATAATAAAATGAATTCGATACGTACCTGAACTTCTAAATTCAGTTTTTATAGCTTGATGAGTTTCTAATATTTCTTCAATATTTAAAGTATCAGTTAAATTCACATCCCAATTTTCAATTTCATTACAATTTTCTACTAAATTTACTAGTCTCGAGTGAATATCATTCTTAAATTCCTCTTCAGTATTTTTATATCTTTGACTTTCAATTATATTTATAATACGTTTTTTAATATCTTTGCATTTTTCTGTAATTCTTTCTTGAAGTGCTTTAGTATCATCAAAATCGGTACTTTCATTAGATGGGAATCTTAACTTATATGTAAGCAATTTAAGATCAAATTCTAATATTTCAACATTAACCAAAAGCAAATGTCTACTATAATGAGTAGATTCTGCTATTTCTCCTATTGTATTTAAATGATCGTAAATAGAAAATTGTAATCTTTCGATAAATTTCTTCCAAACTTCTTTAATACTTAAGGTATTTTCGATAATCGAAGCAGTGGGTGTTGATTCTTTTGACAATTCTTGAATTATGAATAAAATTTCACGATGTAAAATTTTTTGTATATTTATAATTTCAAAAAATGCATCTAAATAAATTCTTCGATCAACTTTTGCTATTGAAATTCCTACTCGTGAAAGCATTTCTTGAAAAGTTTCAGAAGAAATGGAACTCAAAGTATTCATAATTGGGGGAGAAGAACCCGAAGCGTAATCATCCAAAATCGGTAAATTTAATAATTTTTCGACAAAGTAATCATAAGAATCTTCATTTTCTAATTTATCTCGATATCTAGAAATAATTTATAAATTCAATTAAGATGAAAAATGAAATTATTTAAAAAAAAATAATTCACTTATACTCACAAATTTGAAGCAGTGACATCAAAGGCTTTTTTATGTGGTGGAAATTTTGTAGCTTCAATAATTAAAACTAATTTCTGATAATTTACTAATAATTTATTAACATGAGCAACCCAGGCTTTCTTGCTTTTTCTATCAAACCCATGATACATTCCAATACTCTCAAAATATGCATGAGGTATGATTTCAGGCAATTTTTTGTTTACAGCTTTGTTACGTACTTCAAGTACAACTTTCATTGGTCTTGATTCGTTTTTGGGTAAAGCATCTTTTAATTCATTTCTCCTAACGATCATTTCATCTCTAAGAGTAATAATTTGCATTATAATTTCTTTTAATTTGGAGTCATATTTTAATAAGAACTTTTTATTTTGCATATCTAATGTATATTTATTAATAATTCTTCCATATCTCTTGACATTTTTAATTGGTGTTCCACATGTTGGACACGTCTTTGTATTCATTAGTAAAGCTGGAAGTATTTTAACTGACGTCCATCCTTCTTCAATTGAACCTTCATAATAATTTTCCATTTCCATAAGCATATCCATAGTTTCCATAGTATATACATGTTTACAAGTAAGAACAATCATTCTTTTTTCATTCCAATCTATTACACTAAACGTACTTTTGGAAAATATATCTGACACTTTTTTTAAAAGAAAAATAAATTTAATGAAAAGAAATTGAAAGTTTACCGAGAAAAATTTAACTTACCTTGATTTTTAACTTCTTCAGAGGCACAATCGACACAAAAATCTTTTGAAGGACAAATCTCACCACAAACTCCAGCACAATTATGTCCACATTCTAATATTTTATTACATCTTTCATTACAAGGTAATCTATAACAAGGAACTCCACAACTTAATTCACATCTTCCTTGATGTTCACATTCCCATGAACAATTTTCTGCACATACAGCACAAGGTTCTAAACAACGCTTATTACATGATGTGTGCTCACATATCACTGTACAATTATCTTTACATGGCGGACATTCTTTCCCTTTATGACAATGGCTCTTACATTTATGTCCACAAAATAAAAATTTGCCACAAGCAGTTTGACATTTTCCATGTTGTGTTCGTTCAATGGGGCTTAAACACTCATGACCACATTCCAATTGTTTTCTGCATTTTTCTATACATTTTTCATTAGAACTAACAGGCTCAGAGCACTATATATATATAATAATTTAGTTAATATATACAGTACAAACTACAAAGTATATCAAAATAAACAATACCACATGTATAAATAAAAAATACTCACGTAAATATTTTTATAGTGTTCACAATGTAATAATTTTTTAGGAACATTAGTTTTACATTTAATTGAATCTTTAGTTCGATCTTGCCAACATTTAGCATTTTTTAATTCATGACCACAACCAGGTAATATGATATCATCAACAAGAATTTCACAATCTCCACAATTTTCAAAACAAAGCTTTTGACATTGATGATTACATTCTGGATTTATTTTCAAACAATGTTCATCACATCTGATTCCAAAATGTTCAGGATTATTTATATGACATTTAAATTTACATTTGTGTCCGCAGGGAAGTAACGCATTACAATTTTTATTACATCCACCATCTGGACTAACTTTTTCAAATTGATCAGGCTCAACGATAATATTCTTGTAATCTGGATGGTTGTTGCATACAATTGGCATACCAAAACCAACTTGATTACGTTCATGTAAAATACTAATTACCGGAGCCCACATTTTAGATTTCATTGCCATTAAGTCAGAATTACCAATGAGATACATTCCTTTACGAGCACGTGACAATAATACGTTACTTCTATTAGTACTTTTGAGAAATCCAATTGAATCATGCCCACTTGGTAATTTGGAAAAATTACGAACTAATGAAACGATGATAATATTTGCTTCTTCACCTTGGAAATTATCAACAGTTCTTAAAGTAACTTGTTGATTTAATGATTTTTTTGATGCAACGCTTATATTATCATTATTGTTCGCTCCACCTTCTTGTTCTTGTTGTTCTTCCATTTCAGTAATATTCTGTTCATCTCTCTCATCAATAACAACAACAAATGATTTAGCTAAAGCATCTCTAATTTTAATCATTTGTCCTAAATAAGGAGTAATTACGGCTATATCATCGGGTTTGGTATATCCATTCCTAACGAAATATTTTACCATCTCAACAACCATATTAACCTCGTATCTGTTTACATGTGATTTTATTGCATACTCTCCACCTGAACTATCTTCTGGATTTCTATGATCGATAAAATAAACGTTGTGTTGAGCTCCACGTACATTCTCATATTTTGTAGTATTGTCACCATCAATTAAATTTGGATAAAGTGTATATCTAATTAAATCAGAAACTTCACTTCTCATACGTCTCTGAGTTAAAAGTTGAGATTTCTCAATTTTAACTGCTTTATCACCATAAACTAATCTTTCAAATAATGATTTATCCAATTGATAATTCTTTCCTGTTGTTGAATCCATACTAAGAGAATACGTTGCAATGTGAGGACGAAGTTGATTGTGATCACCGATCAATATCAAATGCTGAGTTAATCGAGTTAACGCACAAATAATGTGAGCTTCTAATACTTCTCCCGCTTCTTCACAAATGATAATTCTAGGACCAATCGATCTAATTAAATTTTGAAATTTAGCTGCACCATTTGTCGTCATACCAATTACATCACTACTTAATAATACTTGACGACGTCCTTCATCATAAATATCATTTACTTCTTTACGTTTTTCTTCATGCTTTTTTTGTAATTTTGATAATTTTCCAACATTTCCTTTATAAATATTTGTACGCCAATGATCATGAAGTTTTTTTCTTTCTACTACTGACATTCTCCAAATTGATTGATCATTTAATAATTCTTTCAAAGGTCGATTTGTTTTTGGTTCATTATAATTTTTAATCCAATTTATCATATCATTATCAATTTGTGATTCATCACTTGTACCCACTTCATTTTTGATCTCTTCATTTTTTAATAATTCAAAACTATTTTGATTTTTTCCTATCTTATCTTTTTTCTTATTACTTTTTGGAGGATTTAATAAAAATTTTTTTCTTTTATTAATTGTTGTAATATCTACTCCTTTTATCCATTCTTCAAATGGATATTTTTTATTTTTCTTATTTTTTTTAGAAGTTTGAAACCCTCCTCCTCCTCCTCCTTCTTCATTAATATTTAAAACCCAACTTGGTAAATCTTGTTCAGATACTTTATTGAACTTGATAAAAAATTCCTTTTTATTTTTCTTTAAATAATCACTTATTTCATACCATTTCATCGATTTTTTAATTAAAAATTGATTTATTTTTTCAGCATCATTTTCTATCTTTTCAATCTCTTCATATAATTTTGCTAATAAATAAGATTCTTTTCTAGTACGAGCACGATCCCTACAAACTTCATCTAAACTATATTTTTTGATCCTTTCTGATTTAGATCGAGATCCTAATCTTACTATGTTCGTTATATTTTCATCAAGTAAATGCTGAAAAAAAAAATTGAAGAGTGAATGTTAAAAAAAATATATATATTTTTGAATTTTCAAATAATAATAAATGAATATAACGAGTAATTAAAATTTACCTCCAAGAATTGATCAAGAGCGTGATTAGTAAAACAAATGGTTAGAATTGGACCAATATTTGTTTTTCGATTTTCTTTGGCTAATAATACTTTCATTATTTGAACGCCAGCTACAGTTTTACCCGTACCAGGTGGTCCTATAAAAAATAATTTTTTTTTTTTTAAAAAAATCCGTTCAAAATAATAAAATATATTTCACGTCATATATACTGTACATACCCTCAACTAATGCAATTTCACGAGTTAGAGAAGATATCAACGCCTTGGCTATTAAAGAAAAAATTTAATTCAAGACAAAAGTTAATTTTCAACTAACTCATATAATATAGTATTAGTTATAAATTTACCTTGAGTTTCGTCTAATCCATAAGGAGATCCATCTGGTAATTTACCGATATTACTATATTTAACGATATTTTTTATCACTTCATCATGAGTACTCTCATCAGCAACATTTAATTGTAAATTATATTGATTTTTACATAAAATTGATAAATCAAATTGAAATCCTGGTGCTCTAGTGTACAAAGGATTTTCAACTTTTACATCATAAACATTGCTCATTTCTTTCTTCATTTCTTCCCTCATTTCATCTCTCATTTTTCCTTTTATATAATCACCATTATTAACATTCAAATCATTAAAATTAGGAGCCAAATATTTTTCAAAAGGTAACGAAGAAGGATTTGTAGTTTGAAAAGTTTTAAGAATATGATAATAAGATTCTAAATAAACGCCAGTTGATTCTACCATAAATCTATTTTTTGATGTTTTTTTATTAGTTTTATCAAAATTTGAGATCTCATTTAAAGCGATAGAATAAATTGATGGATCAATAAAATTAACATCAATTTCCGCAAAATTTTCATCTTTTGATAATGCCTTTTCATCTCTTGTTACTACTACACCAAAATAAAGTAAATATAAATCAGAATTACTTATAGAAGAATTATTATTTGAATTCTTTTTTTGAGGATTTGGATTTGATAATATAACAGCAACTAAACTACCATTTAATAATCTTTTACTTCTTTCCCAAAATTCTTTTCTACCTCTTGCATTTTTTGCACTAATTTTTGGAGGAGTAAATTTTATAGTACAAGCAAAACCTTTTCTTTTATCACAAGTAATTTTAACAAATCGTATATTAGTATATACTTGTAAATCACTATTTTCATTCGTACCATCATTATAAGAAAATCTACCACCCAAATTTTGTATTTTTTTTAATTCTTTTGATAATTTAATATCATTATTATCATTAGAAGAAGAATGTTCTTGTAATAAAGCAGTTAATAAATTTGATAAACCACCACGAATTGGATTTAATAAATCTTCTCTTAAAAGACGAAATTGTGTATCAAGTAATCTATTAGCTCCATCAGGTAAAAAATGTAATGAATAACGATGTGAAGTAGGTAAAAAAGGTGAACGATCACATAAAATTTCTTCATTTGTAGGAATAATTGAAATTTTTGAAATTTCTGAAAAATCATTATCATGTCTTTTACCATAATTTGATAATTCACCAGGTGGATCATAAGTTCTTTCAGCATCAACTCTTCTAGCTAATTCTTTATAATATAATTGATCTAATTTTACATTTATTTTTTTTGCTTCAGGATTTTGATCAAACATTAAATTATTACGTCCATTATTTAACATTTTATCCATAATTTTCATCTCTTTTTCTAATATCATGAAAAAAAATTTTCTATTTTCTAAATTACTAGTTAATGGATCTGTTAGAGCAAATTGTTGTTGTTCAATCGATTCTTGATACATAATCTTTAATCGATATAAATCATTTGCAATATTATGCATCATCTCATTAATTGATGAATCACTGATACGACGTAATAATTCTGTAAGAAGTCGTACGATTACCAAGAAAAATATTCCTAAACTATTAAATGTATTTTATTAATTATTATGAGAGACGTACTAGCATCATACGTAAATAGTACTTACGAAGACGGGATAAATGTATATCGTTCACGCAACAATAATACATCTTCGCTAACACGAGAATCACAAACACTATTACGTTGTACCAACGTTTCCAACATTTTCATTACATTATTATAGAAAAATGAGTCCTAATTGTTTTATAAATAATGTTAAGTTAATATTAATTAAGTGAGGAAGAAGGATAACATCATTAATAATACTTACCAGATTTTCATAGACGACAGTATAAATTGCAAGAACATATTTTTCCAAAATACATTCCGTGATAGCTGTTCTAGTGAATAAACCCAATAAAGGTAATATAACATGTTGAAAAGATAACACACCATTATCAAAACCCGCATCACATGACATTGAAGGAAAGTTCATAATTTCTCTCAATTTCTTGACACCACTATCAGGATCACCTAATTCAGTTACAATTTCTTCTACTTCATAACCTGTCTTATTATCAGATGCTACTAATGCAGAACTAATAAACATTTTAACATCTTTATGATCCAAAGGTTTGTTTTTTCTCAATATTCTTTTCCAAATAGTTTTAATCGGTTCACCATCAGTAATAAAAACTAATTTATCACTACCATTATAAGTTTAATTCTGAAGAACTAAAATTTGATATAGTGGCTTCTTGTTGTGATTGTCTTATTTCATGGGCACTAAGTCTTGGTGCTGGTGGTTCATTTGGACGATTATTATGATCACGATTCTGCCTTGTACGAGGTTCTACATTTCTATTTCTTCTGCCGCCGCCACCGCCACCGCCACCGCCACTATTGCTGGCATTTTTATTACCATTGTTATTAAAACCAAGTTTTGTCCCCCCTTTTTTAGTTTTTTTAGCCATGACTGACAATTAAAAAAATTTTCGTTTATTTTATTTTTTATTTTGTATATAATATATATATATATATATTTTAAAAAAAAAACGAAGGGGAACGAAAAAGAAAAAGGGTTGGTTTTTTTTATATTTAAGTAATGAGAACAATATTAATTATGTAATAAATACAATTAATATTGTATCGATGCAAAAAAAAGATGATTTTTTTTTTTTTGAAATGTTGAATTGACACGCCCACGCCCATTACCTAAAAATAATATATGTTTTCGCAGATCTTCAACCTGAGATGCATTTTCACTAATAGATGTGGTACAACTAATCACCAATTTGAGAAATAATAACATATCAAAATTTTAAAACAATTTACTTTTTTTAATTTGTATAATAAAGATAATAAACGAATTTAAAACAAATTTTTTTTTTAAAAAAAAAGGCAAATCTCAAAAAAAATCAAAATCAAAAAAAAAAAGATATACATATGATAAATATGATAAGGATTTTAACATGTCATTATATAATTATGAAGAAAATAATATTAAAAGTTTATGTTATTTATCTTAATATATCATATGATATGATAAATGATTTGTTTAACGTTTCCTCATTCTAGGAAAAGAATTTTTTTTCGGAAAATTTCGGAAAATCGGATGTTTCTTGCATAAGTATTTGGTTAATCGAATTACATGAAATTGTAGGAAATCAAGGACCCCGAAATATATATGTAGAGGTCAGGTCCAGAAGTGGTCCCAAAATACGCATTCTTTCAGGGCCGGAATTACGATAATTTCAGCCATTATCTAAATTAGGAAATATTATTTTGGCTGGGATTATCCATAAAAGGAATGATCTACATGATTTTTTTGACTCATTATACGCAAACTCTGACCTGACCCTTTTATGTATATTTCGGGGTCCTGGAAATCACATGTTAAAAGTTAAAACAAAATATTATTCCATTTATTATATAATATCAAAATTTTTTCTGAAATAATTTTCGACCTTATAAAAGATTTTTTATTTTCAAGATTAATTTTTTAATATAAAGATCTTTAATAACGTAAATTAGAAATTTCAAATAATTTATAAAATGTAAAAAATGAATTTTATCTAGCGAAACTAAAAACATTAAAATTAAAAACACCCCACTCGGGTGATCATCAAAGGATATAACCTTATTATTTACGTCACAAATGCATAGGTTATATCCTTTGGTGGGCGGCCCATGGGCATTACTATATAAGTCACGTGACTTTTAATTTTAACGTTGTAGCCATAGATACTGGAGTAATCGCATAATATGGAGGAATAATATGGAATAAAAGATCAAACGATAGAAAGTCACATGATGGGATAAAATTAACCGGAAAGGATAAACTTTTAGGAGAAGGAATGATCTACATGATGTAATGTTTATTAAATGATTAACGGAGAACCAATAGATCAAGTGGGGAGTTGATCGATGTGGCTTAGCAACCAGTTTATCAAGTTCAACAATAGGAACAATTAGGAGGAGTAATCATAAGCCACAAATGGTAAATCATATAAAAAGGAAGGATAGCGAATTAAAGGAACAAAAAAAATAGGAACATGTAAAATATTGATGAACTGCAGCCGCAGTAGAAGAATAGCTGACGAGACGCAGTAGAAAAGAT